AACCATGGTCCAGGTATACAACCATATAAACCAGGGTCGTAGCATTATAGAGATGCTACGACACTATGCTGATAGGCCTGAGTTCCTTTTCGGTATCATTGTTCGGTACTCTTATTAATTTGTAAAATGTTGCTATATTTTGTATATTTTATGTTATTGGATAAACATTTTTCTGTTCCATTCTATACCATTACATTCCCATTCAACATTTACCGTTTCTAAGTTAGTAACCGTGAGCCACAAAAAACACCGATTATGGTTATGGCCACGGTTACAATAAGGTGGTGCAACTCAGCCATAGATTTTTCAAGCTAACATAACATCATATTTCCTCACCTTAGCAGCCATGGCAATATCTTAAAAATATCTCCAGAAATAATTCTTGCGGCTTCATATCGGTGGCGCCTGAATAAGTCATGAGCCGCGCGTGTGAGACATTTCCACCGCGATTGCTTTAATGAAGCAGTGCTTTAAGGGTACAACCACATACAAGCCAGTCACATGGCCAGGATAAGTCGTAGAACTTCTGTAAAATATCCACACATCATTTCAGCCACATAGGCCTCCTGCTAAATTTTCATTTTATCCGGTTGGTAGCGGCCTGCATCCAGGGCCTTCCTGCTACTCTTATGAGGTCGTCAGTCCACGTCGTGTCTACCGGCTCGTGGTCGCCACTCGAGAACTTTTCAGCAGAAACTAAATAAAAACAAACGAAACAAATAAAAAATAAAATGACTCCGTAAATTATATACCAGAAACCATTTTTTTAAGTCGCGCAGTCGGGTAAAAAAAAAGGCCTATCTTCCAACCCCGCAGAAAATCCTATGACTGATGATGAGGGTATAATAAAGTCATAGATCTACGGTCTAGTACTAGTACATTGAAAGATTCCGTGGGTAGGGCTACCATCCGTCTGTATTTTTGCGGACTTTACCCCAAATACTTTGTTTGGATTCTTTAATGTACTTACATGGAAATAAACTCGCGCGAGTTATATGTATAAAAACAGAACGCTGCGCTTCAACTTTGTGATTAATGATCCAACCTTTTCTAAAATTTGGGTAAATTTTAAAGCATTATATGGTAACCCTATCCGCGGGTATCCGGCAGGGTCGCATGATGGGAGATATGGCAGCCTCTTGGACCCTTTCTGACGTATGCAGCTCATTTGTAGTCGGGCCCTATACCATTTGGACACGACACTATTTTATTATGATCCTGACAATTTGATGGGACTATGTAACGAGGACGTGAAAGGGTTGTTTTTAAGATTAGGTTTGGAATTGCATTTTGGAATAGCAGAAAGACTGACTGACTTTGCTGAAACTTTAATCCTAACAACTTATTTCAATAAGATGCTTACAAAGTTAAAAGATAAGTAAACATAGCAAAACCTGTGCTGTCTCTTTTTCTTCTTCTTATTCCTTCATAGACTTGAAAAGTGTACCTTCATGATGGTGTTGATTTTCCATTATTTTAACAAAGTTAATTTCAGACACGAGGGCGTCTGAAATTATTTTTCACTGAAGAAAGGTAATTTAAATTATGGAGCCGTGAAAATGGTATAAAAACACCAAGGTTGTCCCCCATTATTCAACCAATACTAAATTCAAAAGAGACGAAAGTAGCCCCATAAAATTAAAAATAACTTAGAGAAATTGGCTTATGTCTAAGGTACAACATAATATGAAAAAATAAAACATTTTTTTCACCATTTAACCCACAGGACATCTCGGCTGAACCATTTAAGAACCTAGTAAGGGACACTTTTTCAGATTTTCGTTTTTTGTCATAAATCACCTTAGAATGTGAAGACAGAAATCGCTCTATTACACTTAACACCGGAGAAACGCGTTGCTAAAAACCTAGTAAGTGCAATTCAAATCTGCAAAAACCATTATCAAAACCTAGCAAGTTACAATGACCATTTAAAACCTAGTAAGTGCATGGACTTACTAGGTTTCAAAATGGTCAATGTGACTTACTAGAGGTAAAATGCTACTGTAATTGAAATATTATTTCGAGTTCTGTTGGCTGACACTCGATAACCATATCAAAATCTGGGGACTACATGAGTACTGATTCATCGTTCGTTCGTTCGTTTCAGCCGAAAGACGTCCACTGCTGGACAAAGGCCTCCCCCAAGGATTTCCACAAAGACCGNTTCGGCTAGATTTATGACAGGTGTACGTACACTCGTGTATAATTGTCCGTAGAACTTCTCAACCTCTTCCAATAACTCAGGCCCCGACGAGATGTCTCTGCCATCCTCGGTCTTCAGCTTGGTCAGTTGACTTTGGCCAACAGACAGATCCCTAGCGAACACTTTAGAGCCTTTGTTACGCTCAATCGCCTCTTTAATACGATCTGTATTAAATTAGCGTAGATCGCGAGTCAAAGACTTGGAGATCTGTCTGTTAAGATGCCGATACTGAGCAGCATCTTCAGAGGACTGCAGAACCAAGTTTCGTCTCTCTTCCATAAGTTTATTGGTGAGGTCAGAGATCTTTTTGGTTCCTTTTGGACGACGGGTTTTAAAGAACTTAGACCCAGTCGTTTGGACAATTTCCACGAACCTGTCATTGTATTCGTCCACATTTTCGCAGTCTCCTAGGCATTCGAAACGATTTTGCAACTCGAGCTGAAAGCTTTCGGGGTTTTGGAGTGACTGACTCTGACTGACTGATTCATATTCGATTTTTATTTTGATTTTTACGAGGCACTTTTGTCAAAAAAATAATTTTTAGTGTTATTAAAGAGCATAAAACTTGCAATTTTTAACTAAATATATTCTTTTATTCCATAAAGTATACTTTAGTAACTAATCTTTAATATAAACATCGGAAGTTATCCAAATCTTTAAGCATCTTAGCAGGGCAAATGAAAATGCGTTTTTTCGCTCTCCTGTAAAATTTGCTCCGCTGCACTTACTAGGTTCTTAAATGGTTCAGCCGATCTGTGGCGACAGAACCATGTAGAGAAATTAAGATAAAGATGCCAAAGAGTAGGTAGAGAGACTAGTACTTTGAAGGTAAAGTTAGAGAGACAAGCATTTTCAAAATCACTACATTAAGTATAAAACAAAGTCGCTTTCCGCTGTCTGTCCCTAAGTATGCTTAGATTTTTAGAACTACGCAACGGCTTTTGATGCGGTTAATAGATAGAGTGACTCAAGATAAAGGTTTATAGCTGTAAAACATGCATATTATAGAAGAAAAGCCGGGAAATTCCATTGCAACCGTGCGAAGCCGGGGCGGGCCGCTAGTACTTGTAATAAACTTTGATGTGGTCTTGCCTTTATATCTTCAGTCGCTGTGTCAATTGAGTGGCTTCTAATATGATATGGAAGAGGCGGAGGGGTTCTGACATTTTGTTTGAACTGTCCATAATGTCACAATTTTTCAATTTTATTCATTACTGTGATAAAAGCTTTGCTATTAAACTTGCAAGCGTCATCTTCATATTTATTCTTGCTAGCTGTAAAAATTGACAAACTGTGATATCATATTTTATAACTACAAGCATCTCTCGTCTAATTAGTAATGGGTAATCATTATCTGAGCATGCAATAGTCTCACAAACTGAAAACGTACTTTTATTGTGTCCCATCTGGGAATCAAATCCCCTAAGTTACGAAGGAGTTAAATAACATTTAACAATACTTTCAATACCTTTTCAACATTTACGAGTAAAAGAAGTCATTTATGTAAACAAAGACATCCGTTTATTCATTTTCAATCTGCAAACTGAAAGAATGCAGGGGCTGCAGCTGAAAAGGCCCTATGAAATATTTATTTATGAAATGAATTCAATTAAAATGTAAATCAACTGCCAGAGACCGTTTCCCGAGTGTACTCACTCACACGATACTCAATTTGTGTATCCTCTGACATTGTAAATTGGTTCTTGCGATTAAAATTCTAGGTGCCGACATAAAGGGAGAAATAGGTATTCTTTGATATTAAGAGCAAATTGTTTAATAGGATTCTATCATTTGCACCTAATATTAAAACCATCTTAGAGGACAAGTAGACTTTAGATTTTTTTTTACTTCGTTCATTTCAAACAAAACGACGTCCACTGTTGGATAAAGGCATCCCCCAAGGTTTTCCACAATGACTTTTCACAGTGAGTTTTCCTGAGTTGCCCTACCTAATATAAGTAATATAACGAAAAACAAAACAAATGAAATTTTGAGTTTAATTGACAATTAAATTTTGCCAGTATTTTCTTTGTTTCAAGAACTCTCAATTTTGCTACTTTTTTTCTAGTGCTCTTTATTAATCCAGTATATTTTTAAGAGAATAAAACATTACTTAGAAATACCTACCTACTGTTTAAAAGTTCATATCCATAGATGTATTTTTAAAATTGAGTCCATTTAAAGCATAAATATTTCATATTGCTGTCTGCTACTTCTCGCATTCTTCCAGAATTTTGTTGTCTGAATAATGAATAGTTACGTGAGGAAAGCTCCTGCTTGCCAACTTGATATTACTATACGTTTCTGTAAATAACGTATACTTTTATTGCAACTGGGAGGTCTCATAAAGATTGCAATATTCTAGAAAATTATTCTCTGGAAAATTTTCTCCGTAGCAATAAAAAATGTCATCTCTAAGCTCGTATATTAAAATTAAATCCGCTGAACAAATTTAAACGAAAGCTAAGTTATAATATTCTACTCCATTAAAATTTTTCGTACGAAAAAATCAAGCAAAAACATTTTTCGAACATAATTAAGCAAAAAAAGTCCAAATATTTATCGTGACTCAGCTTTCAGCTATAAATTAATTACGTGCCACATGTTGGTTGCTTTGAAGAAGGCCTCGGCGGACAAGCAAAGGCCTATCCAACGTAAAATATTTAGTCCGCAATGTATTAACACAAATCGTTAAGCCCTATATACCCTTACTAATAACCGTAAAGCCGCTTACAGACATTAAGGCTTGCGAGAGTTTCAAAATACACCCTGAAGTTCAGTCGCTGTAAGCTCGCTGTGTGGCGAGCACGCGTTCACTGCGCTTAAAAACTTCGCGACTTCAGAAGTTGTAAGCTCGGCAATTCTGGCCACTTCGACCGCAGTTGGAAGAAGTTAATTTCAAAAATGGAATGTTTCAGTGTTTGACAGTGACAATGTTTTTCTTTTATTAACCTAGGAGGGTTCCCTGCGGAGTTAGCAATCTAAAGTTGCCAGGTATGTTGCACTCAGTTCGGCATAGATTAGTAGTTTATTAACTAAATAGCCGGCGGTATTCCAGGGGCGCCAATAAAAACAATTTTAACTACGTAGCCAACAGTTTGCACTTAATTTCGGGATGTTACAGAAGTTTTGAACTTGCAAATTATTCATTTGACTTTGTCGCCGTCGATGTTAAATGTTAATGTTGTGTTTTAGTAATGTTAGTTTGAAAAGTTGATAAACTTTTAACGACGTGCTCTGCCTTCACACATGTACAGTACCTCTCAGAAGGCTTTTCTTGGACTTAACTCACCAAAGTTTCTAAAATTAGCCTATACCTAACTCGATGCTGGACTTTTAATAGTGTAGTATTCAGTGACGTTTATATGAATTTCCAAGCTAAATAAAAACATCAGATTTGCTTCAAGCCATAACCGTAATATTTCAGCTTATCCAAAAAAATGCGAAAACCGTTTTCACAACAACAAAAGCTTTTTTTACGCTACAATCTGAATGCTACTCAGTAAGGAAGGCTACCAACCGATGGTGTTTATGAAAGGGCGGACATTAGCAGGGTCGGACGAAATGAAGGAATCATACAATAACAGAAGGGCACAATGGGGCCCTGTAATGAGGTTATAATCCGCCCAGGGAATCCCAATAATGTTTCTTTTGCACCTTGGCTGTTAGGACATACAAGTTTAAACCTTAAAGCAATAAGTAAAAAAAGATACACTTAAGTACAGTCGAACGTAGAACCTCCTTCTTTTTTTAAAGTCAGTTAAAAATTCAGAACAATGCTATTGACTTTATTTCTACTGCCTATTATGGGGGTCAATTAAAACCTATCAAAGTTGAGAGTCTTTAAAAATCCATCGAAGCACGTGTCACGCACGGTAACTAGAATGTATGCTATAAAAGGTGTAAAAATTAATGTTTTTTTGTAATTACTATTTAATAAAGATTAGTTTATAATATTTAGTTTTGTAGTAGTTTATCATACGATAACGTTTTAATGTTATTACTAGAACCAAGGTATTGTCAGAAAAAATGATCACTTCGTTAATTTTTAACGCTATATCTACAGCGCACATTTTATACCTTCATCAAATGATAAAATATCTCGTCAGCTTTCAAAAGGGACGGGAAATTAAAAAGAGTTGCAGATTCTCATAATAAGATACGCTAGCTTAATCGTGTCAATATTTTCCCGCCGTTTTGCTTAGAGATGTTTAAATGCTGGTTTATTTTGTGGAAAAGGTTACGTTTTTTTTTTAAACCTGTCTGTAAATATTTTTTACTTTTCAGAAGTTGATTGACTGTTTAGAACAATTCCTAGGTCATCATCGTCATTTGGTACCATAAAGTTGTATTGTGATTCTCACGTAAATAGCTTTTCAGAAAGCTAGGCACATTTTCTAAACATTTCAAAATAACTGAAGGTATACTCGTAGAATAAGAATTCCTTTCATTTTCTCTCAATTCGCGATAAATTACGAGCAGTTTCAAGACCGTTTTGAAATATTGATACCTATTCCAAATCTGAAAAGGGTTCGCCCCTCTAACTAATAAACCGTTAAACTTCGTTATTCTGCCGATCAAATCCGATAAATGCCGAATCAACAATTCCAATCGAAAGTTAAGTGATCGCTCAAAAAATATTTCAATACCTTCTGGATTACATTTGCAATCCATCATTCGATCGAGCGATCTTTTTCATCGGCTTCCACGCATCGTTGGTTTTATTTTTAGAGACGATTCTAATGGGAAAAACGCGACATTTTTGTGGAGCTCTCACCTGACAGACTAGGCGTTCTCACACAAAAAAATCTCACACTTGGTATATTTTTACACCGAAATACTCAGCTATGGGACGTCATTCTTTGTAGAATTTGTTCCTGCAGAAAAGTTATGACCCAAGTAACTAGCTATAGCCATCGTTTTTTTTATAACAAAAAGAAAACAACAAAAGATCTAACAATAATTTATCGACGACTTTGTCAAATGCAACACACTGCCTACTTATGTCATTGATTTTTCATGAGGCTAAGATTCATCAATCGACTACCATCGTAAGTTCTTTATGACAATATATGCTCTACCTGATATTCCTTCCAAAATACATTATCAAAATAATCTTACAATTCTTACCCGTTAAACCACCTCTTTTATAGAACCGTGCGCAGTTTGATTCCTATATTTTACCCTTTATTTTTGTACCCCCAACCTAATCCCCCTGTCAAAACAAAAACACACCCTTTTACCTGAATTTATCCGGGTTGCTTGTATGGATCAAACTTTGATTTCATCTCATCAACGAGCTCCGTCCTACTTTGGGTAAGCTGGGACGTGAAAACAAACAAGCTTTATTCTACAGGGTGTTGATATTTACGACATAATAATATGAGAAAGAACATGCGCAAGAAAAACATTTCTGTATCCGAAATCTCAACGATTACGTAGATACGTATAAGGACTCGTATGTGTTTATACTTTGTTGTTTTTGCATGGTTGCATGCAAAGATACCTAGGCTGAGTTGCACCATCTTACTTTAACACTAAATGAAATCCACATTTTACAGTTGCATTTTCACCCAACACGACCTATTAGTTCTCTGAAAAGGAATAGAGGTATCACTACTAAAATGGACACATAAGAGCTTTTAAAAGGCTAACAAATGCTAAAAACGGCTAGTAATCGAATGAAAATTGAATTCTCTTTTCGGTTGCGTTCTCTTGCTTTGCCTAAAAAGATTCTATTTCCTTTCCGAACATGAGCTCAGATCGGCATGCTACGCTAGAACATTATTGGATGCAGTTTCCAATACAATACATGACATTTTAAGATATCATATTTCTGAAAAGCTGCACACATTACCTTTTTTTTTCAATTCGAACTTAAAACCTTTTTATGGAGGCAAAAAACAAAATGAAATAACCTTGACCTTCGAACGATAAAGTAAACTTATCCTTCACCCTGGCTGGTTTTATCGATTGACATCCAAAAAAAAAACAATCCATTTGTATTCCCGCCACAGTTTCAAAAATAGAACGAATTTATATTTGGAATCGAGTCTGCTGCCCCAGGTTTGGCCATAATTGGAGAGCATTTTAGGCGGCTCGTGCTTCGCGGGCATTATTAGGTAGTCGATATCGATCCGTCGTGCTGTGCCAGTCGGTCACTGCCTCACTAAACTACACACAAACTTATCGATTTTCAGCGGTGTCCGTGTGCGAAGCGGGAAACCGACAATCACGTCACGAAAAATCCATTTCGTTGTTTCTTGCCCATTGGGTAGTTGATTACGTAATGAATTGAAGAAGTGACGTCATAGGTTCGCTTTACAAAAGTCGCGCTTTGACAGCTCATTAAAAGTATGTCTTGAATTCAAGAGCTTCCTCGTTGTGGATAAAAAAATCTATAGATAGATAATCTAGCTTTAGCTGAATCAAACAAACATTTTATAATAAAAATAATTAATTACCAAATAAAAAAAAAGTTCGTAATGAATACCATGATAAAAATAAAATAAAAACGCTCTAAGTATGTACTAGAACGGTAGGTAGGTACTATCTGTGATAATAGCCTGACCTATTTAAACACTGATACGTGGAAAGTGTTTAATACTCATTATACAATTATATTGTCATTGACCTAATAAAAACTATTGTGTCACTAGACGGTAACATTAAATTATCACAAAATTAGATTGTTATCCAAATGTTGCTTATAAAGGTTTACATACCTAATTAATCGATGTGTAAATGCACCACTTCATTGGTTATAATTACAACAGCAGGTATGCTGTCTAGAGGGTTAAATTATGTTTGAAATCCGCTAGTATCTTTTTCAGTTTATCACGACAGTACATCAGGCTACCCATTTTTGTTGCAAACTCGCCCCTGTCACAACTGTACAAGAACCCGCAGTGGTTACGTTGACGTGCCGTCGTCTGTACCTTAGTTACATTTGGTACGTTTTGTTATTTTTATTTTCAAACACTGAATGACTGCCTATTTTTCGACTTGTTATTCACCATCCCCCTTACTAATAAAAAGTTACACAGTTGTTGAACACTGTTTTAAAATGCTGTTTAACGAGCGTGTAAGTTTTATTAGTAATAGAGCATATATGCAGCAGGTAAATTATATTCAGAGCTATAATTTGTGGTATTCCAATTACTAACTGATGCTACCACCACCCGCCTCCCTTAACTAGTTTAACTTTCGCAGGTACTCCACTAGTACAACAAACTTACAAGACCAAACTTAGTTCTTACCTGTTATTAAATTAACTATCTTGTGAATTCTGTATCTTTTATCTATCTACTAGCTTTCCACCCGCAGCTTCGCCCGCGTGGAATTTTGTCTGTCACAGAAAAACTTTATCGCGCGCGTCCCTGTTTCAAAAACCGGGATAAAAACTATCCTATGTTCTTTCCCGGGACTCAAACTATCTCTATGCCAAATTTCATCAAAATCGGTTGCGAGGTTTAAGCGGGAAAGCGTAACAGACAGACAGACAGACAGACAGACAGACAGACAGACAGACAGACAGACAGACAGACAGACAGACAGACAGACAGACAGACAGAGTTACTTTCGCATTTATAATATTAGTTGGGATAGGTATATTTTCCATACGGCTTATAAAAAAGTTTTCATTAGATGAAAATTTTCTTGGATACCTACCTAATTTAATGCCATCAGTAGCACCATATAAGAGTGGCATTTCCTAAGGGGATTTTAAGCTTTTAATCAGTACCTAAAGTATACGAGTACGTTTTCATATCACTTAAGAAAATACATTGGCACAAAATTACCCTCAGAGGTTTGACTGTCATTAATAAAGAAGTAATTTTGTAGTACGTTGGTGTATTCCCCGAAAAAAGGTAGGTAAGAACCTAATGCTCTTTCGATTTTATTTCATTTTTTTTAATTGCTGCCCATCTGGATTTAAAACATTTCCAATGCAATAATATGTTAGCTCCACTTTTCCATTTCTTCAACAAGAA